CTCTTCTTCCGCAAAGGCGGCGGTACTGCCACTTACTACAAGAAGACACTTCATTGCTCTCACATCCGTACTCCACAGCTTACCAAGATGAAAGCCACGGTATGCAGACTAGCCATGACTGGACATCAATCCATCCTCATAGCCTTCTGCTATATCTCCAGTGAAACCCTCCCCCTCAAAAAAGATTTTGAGGCTATCTTATCTTTAGGCAACTCAGTCATTATGTTTGGAGATTTTAACTCCAAGCATACTGAATGGACCTGCCTTCGTATTTCTCAGAGTGGAAAGAAACTGCTTGATATCACGCAGTCTCTTGACCTTACTGTCCATAGTCCCCTCGGTGTTACTCACTATCTCGATAACACCGACCACACTCCTGACGTGCTAGACTTTGCGCTAGTTAAAGGAGTTTCCCTCAACCTCAGGGCAATCGAGACTCTAGACCGACGACCACAGACCGGTCTCCCTCATTCTTGTACATCAGCCACCTTCCTCAACCCCCTCCACGAAAACCTTTACTAACTGGAAGGGCTTCAAGGAGTCCTTAGCTAAAGCTATGTTCTTACAGGACTCCCCCATCTCCCCCTCGTCAGACTTCGACAGTCCCGAAAAAATCGATACCGCGGTTGATTCTCTCTCCACCCTTATAAAATCCTCCCTTAAGGAGAATGAAAGGATCGTCCCGGTTGCTAATAATGATGGTCTTCCCCTACATATTAGCAACCTAATGAAGGCCAAGAGAGCTGTTTTCCGGAAAGCAGCAATCTATCTCACCCCTGACTATAGGCGTACGGCCAATCGTCTTCAACGAGAAGTCCGTTCCCGCCTCTCCAAACTTCGAGACCTCGGAAAGACCTCCGCATAGACGCTATCACCCACATCCCCTCTCTCCCGTCCCGATGGTACTATTGCCTTCGAGGACGAGGAAAAGGCTGAGTACTTTGCAGACAGCATTGCTGCACAATGCTCTCCTAGCTCTCAACCCACCGACCTCTTCCACATCCAGACAGTGGAGGAAGAGGTCCGCGACCGGAACTCACCCCCCACTATTTCTGACCCTATCATTGTGTCCAATGATGAGATCTCATCCCTCATAAAAGGACTGAAGCCCAAAAAGGCTCCAGGCGCGGATGGCATCTCCAACCAAGCCCTTAAACATTTTCCTGAGCAGGTGTTAATCCTATTAGCTATTATCTTCAACGCCTGCTTCAACCTTTACTTACTTTCCCACAACGTGGAATGAGGCAACTGTCATTGGTATCCCCAAGCTAAGAAAGCCTTACAACCTACCCTCCAATAATCTTCCCATCAGCCTCCTCAGGGCCATGGGCAAACTCTTCGAACGAGTCATCCTTACTCGCATGAGGCTCCATCTGTTTCCCACAGACGGCGATCCTCTTGTCATTCCCCACCAATTTGGTTTCCGAGCGAAACATTCTTGTCCCCAACAAGTTCACCGTATTGTGGGATATATCCTGTTCACCAACGACATTCCCATCCCGTTGAAAGTTGTTCAGCTCTCCCACCACGACACTGCCCTCTTTTGTAAAGGTTAAACGCTACCTTTCATACGGAATAAGATGCAAAAGACAGTTGATGGACCCAAGCTCCTAAGAAGCTTGGGTCCATAAATGGCGCATCGATGTGAACCCGGAGAAGGGCTCCGCTGTTCACTTCGATCATAAACGACGCCGCCTCACTACCATTCTGCCAATCCGTATGCTAGGGACTCCTGTCCCCTGGCATATGACAGCCAAATATTTAGGTGTCACCCTTGATCGAGGATCACTTTCGGGCCCCATGTCAAAAGAGTAACCCGCAACGCACGTTTTTATCTGAGTAGACTCAACAGTATGCTGGGCCGACATAGTAAAATGTCCCTGCGAAACAAGCGAACCCTTTATAAGCTCTGTATACGACCAGTCATGACTTACGCGGGCCCTATATTTGCTCACACTGACCCCAAAATCATCAACGAACTCCAAATAGTTGAAAACCTTTTTTTGTCGTCGAGCTACGAACGCACACTAGTACGTCCGTAACGCCGACCTCCATCGAGACTTAGAGCTCCCAACAATCCAACAATTTCTAAAAACACTCTCTGAGAACTTCTTCAAAGCACTAGAGTCTCACTCCAATCATTTCATTTGTGAGGCAGCTACTTATGCAGCCCCACTCCCCTCTCGCTTTCGAGTCCGCAGGCCGAGAAACTCTCTCTCGGACCGGCCAAACAAGCTTTCGACCGACCTGAACTGCCTCCTGGCGGCTCAGGCCGACTCTTCTTAATTTGCCTTAGTTAGGCTCCCCCTCAGCGGCTCGTCGCCACCTGCGCCCCCTTTTCCCAAAAGAGGGTCGCTTCTGATTTGGCAGAAAGGCTACAAAAGTAAAATGCCAGTCTAACAGGTGGTGTTTAGTGGGTAAGTACTTAGGTTAGGTTAGGTTAGTCGCATAGAGTCCCACATAACCACGACAGCCGGCTGTCGTGGATTGTGGGCGCTTAGAGCATTCACACCTCCCTTCCTAGCTTTCTGGACGGTAGCCTTTTTCAATTGCTTCTGGGCGCAAAAAAAAAAGCATAGAAAAAGTTCCTCAACGTACTTACTACGCTCTCCATATGATTTTTCCATGAAAAAGTTGAGTTTATTGTTACCCCTAGGAGCGAAAATGTGCGAACTTCCTCAATATTTATACCTTGGTAAGATATAACGAGTGGGAATTCTAACCTCTGATATGGGCGAAACTGCATTATGTTTGTCTCTTCAAACTTTGAGAATAAACCTAATACGTCCAATTCATCCACAATTTTGCCAAGGCAGTAAGCTATATTTCCCTGCAAACTAGAGAGATTTTTTTGTTCACAAGTAATTATAACTGTCGCGTCATCTGCAAATCAAACGACTCTATGTTGTATTACTGAAGGGAGTTCGTTAATATATGTAGAGAGCAACAAGCATCCCAGGACGCTACGCTGATGCTTTTCTGTGGCAGTTGACGAGTTTATTTCATTTATCATTCTTCTATTTTCATTTAAATGGGATATCTGTACGTACTGTTTTCTATTCGCAAGAAAAGAAGAGAGCCATTCGTGCGGTTTCCCTCGTATTCCTAGCGAATATAGCTTTTCTAGCAAGGGACCATGCAAATCGCGATCGTATGCTTTGGACATGTCCATAAAAATAGCTACAGCACATCTTACCTCATTTAGAGCATTAAGAATTTACGACTTTATAGTTTAAAATCTTTTTAGTTTCCATAAAAACTTTATATACAAATTGAAACTTCTTTTATTCTAATTTCAAAATTTATAAAAGTAAATAAAAAAAAACAAAAGAAATATCAAAATACGGCGGCAAAATTGTTAGTAATTCGTTACGTCAAGGAAAATTAAAATTGTTGTACTGATACTAATTATTGAAATGGGCTTGGAATGTTTTTCTTTTTTAATTAAACGTACCGTGTGAATTTTAAGAATCATGTCACATCGTCATTTGAGTCGAGATGAAATGTTACGAGCCGTGGCCATGTTAGAAACTGGTGATATTCAACGCGTTGTTGCTGAGGCCCTACACATCATCCAAAACGTATCAAGGTTGTGGTCATGTTATTGCGGTATTGGGGATGTGGATTAACGGCACACGGGTAGATATTGTGTTTCTACGCAAAGACAGGATCGATTTCTCCAAATGGCCGCCAGGAGACGACCCAATTGATGCAACTACTACAAAGGCTCCAGTAGGACCACGAGCTAGCGACCAAACCGTGCGAAGGAGGTTGCATGAAGTTGGTCTTCATGGTCGAAGACTGCTACGTTTTCCAGCATTGGGTAAAATGGCAGCTTGACACTACTGTGTTTCGTACGGTGAGTGTAGAGAACCGGAGACCCATTTTCCTGGAAAAGAGGCATTCCATCTTAGTCCTCACGGGTGACGACGCATCTGCATTTTGATTCTTTATTGAGGATAAATGTAGATGTCTAAGGGTCACAGCAACCACTTACCATCAGGTGGACTATGTGCTCGTTTGTCACCCTAACCTATAAAAAAAATTGCGACGAGGCAATCGTGATCGGCAGCTTTCGTGGGCTCGGGAGCATTTACCATGGAGTGACGAACAATGGTCTTTGGTGTAGTTCACCGATTAGTCCCGGTTTGGGTTTCATCCGGATTCACGAAGAACACGTGTTTGGACAACTCCGGGGAGAGTTAGCCGTCTACGGCACCCTTAGGAGCATCACTTATACCAAGCCGTGACAATTAAGGTGTGGGCAGGAATTCGTCTTGGCGAACGAACCCAGCTCGTTTGGATCCAAGTGAGTATGATTGCATAAAAATACCACGAAGTGGTAGTAGAGCCTGTTGTTCTTCCACACATAATCCAAATGGGCCAGAAATTTCTACTGATGTACGACAATGCTCCTTCCCGTACGGCACGGTTGATGTCAGCCGCTCTCCGAGACTACGATATTCAAGGTTTGGATTGGTCTGCACAGTCGCCCGACTTAAATCCTATCGATCATGCCTGGCACATGTTACAATGAAAAGCTTTGAGATATTTCCAGCCAAATTTGACGACGGAACAACAACTTTACGAACATTTGCAAAGAACATGGGACCTCATACCGCAGCAAGGCATTGATAATTTAGTTTTAAGTATGAACAATCGATGTCGATGTGTAATTAATGTAAGAGGTGGCAACAATGATTACTTAATAATTAGATTTTATAGGATTAATTTTAAGATATAAAGGATTAAAAGAAATGAAGTATTTTTATCATACATTTTCTACGGTGATTAAAAAAAATACTTTTTTTTGACCAAAAAAAATTTTTATTTTTTATTAAAGAACTTAAAATAACCTATCATTTATCCATTTACTATATCAGAAAACTCTTCATAGATTTTTAGATAATTGATGAAATATAAAATATCCTTAGATTCTTTTGATGTTTTTAGTTTCTATAAGTCCATCCTTCATCCTTCTTCTTTTTAGTACAATTTTACTATTCAACTTTATTCTTATTGGATCCTTCAAACTCTTCAGTATTATATCCACTATTGTCTACACCACGCAAATGTAGACCAGAAGTACCTTCTATAAGTTTATATTTCTTTGACACAAATTCTGTTTCCTTTACAGAAGCCACTTTGTTGATACTATTTTCATTTAATGAATCACTTTTAAGAGTCGTCATGTCGCTTTTGTCATTATCAGTTTGTTTTGATGGCCTAAAACATAATACTTATGATTAAATTTGTTAACATTTTAATAAATACGTTGTATGTTGTAAAAATTGTTAATTATAGTTATAAGTACTGATAATTTACCACTTGCTCGCAGATTATTTAAAGTATTAAAAATGCTTTAGATATTAAAATACACACATTCGAGAAATTTTTCTTGTTTTAAACCACTCTTAGAGTTAGAAAAAGCAGCAGTGGGACGTATAATTGCTGTAACTTTACTGTTTTAAGTTTGTAATATATTACTTCAAATTTTAGTTGTTGCAAATATATACTAAAATAACATATCAAGGATTTCAATCATGCCTTACAAAATAACATTGCTTAAGTAGTTAAGAAGCAGCTTCCAAAAATATTATCTAATAATTTTTTTTATAGATTAATAAAACATTTATATCTTAGCACAAGATAACTTACTTAATTTTTAGTACAAGAGCCACTAAATTGTTTAATGGGGACTCGATAAACAACGATATATACAAACTCAGCAGATAAGTAATCACAACAATACCCATTGAATCTTGCAGCTGAAAAGAAAACATATGTGATTCTTGTGGCAAAGGCAAAAAAAATCATTTAGTTTTAATTAAGTCCGGCAAACAGTGTAGTTCCAAATACTGTAGAGGTGTGCGCAGAATATATTATTTGATTTGATTTGGAAGACCAATACTGTAATACAAATAACTACAGTAAACAAATTAAAGGTCATTTACAACAGTGATAAAGGCGATTCAACACTCAACATCATCATCATTCTCTAAACCATTTCCCATTATCTGGGGTCGGCGCAGTAAATCTTTTTGTTCCATTCCTCTCTATCAGCCGTCATTTCCATACTTACTCCTTTCATTCTCATATCACTCTTCACACAATCGATACATCTTTTATTCGGCCTTCCTCTGCCCGTGTGTCCCTCCACATTCATATTCAACACTCGTTTTGTGACATGACTTTCATTCCTCCGCATCACATGCCCAAACCATGCCAATCTGCTTCCTCTCACCTTTTCTACCACTGACGCTACTTTCAGGCTTCCTCTTATATACTCATTCCTTATCTTATCCATCCTTGTCACACCACACATCCATCGTAACATTCTCATTTGATTCGCATGCAGTCTATTTTCATCCTTCTTCTGGACGGCCCAGCATTCACTTCCATACATGACGACAGGTCGGATGATCGATTTGTAAATTTTCCCCTTCAGCCTTATTGGCATTCGGGGATCGCACGTTGTGGCTGTGACCTGTCGCCATTTCATCCACCCTTCGTTAATCCTATGCTGCACAGCTCTATCTATTCCGCCGTCGCCTTGAATGAGGGAACCGAGGTACTTGACATCTGAGCAGATAGGCAGTATAGCGCCATCCAACGACATGGGTACAGGACTGGAAAGACCGCCGAAATCACAGCACAGATATTCGGTTTTGGATCTGCTGATCTTCAAGCCAACACTTTCCAGCCTCCGTTGCCACCCCGTCAGTCTGCTCTGTACCTCGATGCCTTCTTCCCCGACAAGCACGATGTCATCGGCAAAGAGCATGCACCAGGGTGCCTCATCCTGCAGGTCCGACGTCAAAGCGTCCATAATCAGTAGGAAGAGGTAAGGGCTCAGTGCCGACCCTTGGTGCAGCCCTACCGCCACATCGATACTGCCCGCAGTTCCCGCGGCAGATCGTACACATGTACGGGATGCTCTGTACATAGCACGGACCAACCTCACATACTTCCCAGGCATACCTTTCATCTTCAACGCCCACCACAAGACCTCACGGGGAACCCGATCGTACGCCTTTTCAAGGTCGACAAAAACCATGTGCAGATTTTTATGCACGCGCTTGTACTTTTCGCACAATTGGCATAATGCGAAAATGGCATCTGTCGTACCTCGACCGGGCATGAATCCGAACTGGTTTTGTGTTATCTCACACTCTTCTCTCATTCTTCTCTCTATTATTCTTTCCCAGACTTTCATCGTATGTGACATGAGCTTTATTCCCCGGTAACTGCTGCAGTTTTGAACGTCTCCTTTGTTTTTAAAAATGGGAACCAGTATACTACTGCACCATTCCTCAGGTATTTGTTCTTCCTGCAACAATTTACCGAAAAATAAACTCAACCACTTCCATCCATCCGCCCTCAGCAACTTTCACACTTCTACTGGTATTCCATCTGGGCCGACCGCCTTCCCATTCTTCATATTCCTAACAGCCATTTTTACTTCTTCCACACTAATTTCTCTCACTAAGCCCATATTCACTGGTGGGTTTTCAAGCATACCATTCCATTCATTCTCCTCATTCATCAATTTCTCAAAATACTCCTTCCATCGCTTCTTTATACTTTCATCGTCAGTCAAAATCCTTCCAGAATCATCTTTTATACATTTTACATGTGAAACATCTCTTCCATTCCTTTCTCTCGCTCTTGCAATTTGAAAAAGTCGTTTTTGACCTTCGGGGCTTTCAAGGGACCGATATAATTTATCGTGCGCCTCTGCCCTACAATTAGCAACTTCCTTCTTCGCTCTCTTCTTACATTCTTTATACGCCCCTCTCTTACTTTCTTTTATGGATTCATTCTGGTCTTCTACGCTCTGCCATTCTTTAAAGGCATTTTTCTTTTCTCTCAAAACTTCTCTAATACTTTCACTCCACCACCACCCATCCTTATCTACCATACGCTTCCCTTTTGTTTCTCCTAACACCTTCCTTGCCACACTTCGGATACAATCAGCCATTTCCTTCCAGCACTCATTCACACTCATTCCTTCCATATCACCCATCTCTATCATCTTGTTTACAACTAGCTCTCTAAATTCACTTGCATACCCCTCTTTATGCAGCAAATGCCACTTTATTTTGGGTGGGGGACGATCCTTATGTTTATTGAGGCGAACAGTTAAGCAGATGTCAGCCAGCAGGATTCGGTGCTGGGATACTAAGTCTTCACCTGGAAGCACTTTGCAGTTTTTTACACTATTGATTTGGTTCCGTCTTATCAGAAGATAGTCGATCTGTGTCGCGTGGTGGCCACTTTTATAAGTAACAAGATGCTGATCTCGTTTTTGGAACCACGTGTTTACTACAGCCAGGTCGAAAGCACATGCTGCTTGCAGAAGAACTTCCCCCTCACGGTTCAACATACTTATGCCAAATGAGAGCTTAACTGATATATAATATACATCTAAAGAAAAATAATAACATAAATGTAAAATAGTAAAACTTTTTACTATTAAATATTATTATTAATATTACAACAGTGGTAGAGTCACGCGGCAACTTTTGCTGTCGCACGGATGGGCCGGCTCGAACCGGGGTGGTATCACGACCTCACAGAAAACCAGCGTGAAGTAGAGGTTTACCTCTGCGTTTCGCTTGGTGAGTGCAGGTGGCCGGAGGCCCTTTTTACTGGAAATGAGGCATTCCATCTTAGTCCTCACGGGTGACAACGCATCTACATATTGATTTGTAATAGAGGATAAATGTAGATGTCTATGGGCCACAGCAACCACTTACCATCAGGTGGACTGTGTGCTCGTTTGTCACCCTTATCCTATAAAAAAAAAACAAAAATACCACGAGAAAGTAGTAGAGCCTGTTATTGTTCCACACATAATCCAAATCCAAATGAGCCAGGAATTTCTACTCATGTACGATAATGATCTTTCCGGCGCGGCTGGTGTCGGCCGCTCTCCGAGACCACGATTTTCAAGTTTTGGATTGGCCTGCACAGTCGCCCGACTTAAATCCTATCGATCACGCATGGGACATGTTACAACAAAAAGCTTTGAGATATTTCCCGCCAAATTTGACGACGGAACAAAAACTTTACGAACACTTGCAAACAATATGGGACCTCATACCGCAGCAAGGCATTGACAATTTAATTGAACTCACTTAGAGCTATCAAAAATGCATTATTTCAAATTCAAATTCACTGTTCATTATAGTACCATAAGTGTATGACACGGAGATACTTGCACGTTCCAACTTAACCTTGTCTAATCTAATGATTATAGTATTATACATATTATAGTCATCATCATCATCATTACAGCCTTTTATAAGTCCACTGCTGAACATAGGCCTCCCCCAAGGAATGCCACAAAGCACGGTCCTAAGCCACCTGCATCTATCGACTTCCTGCATGTCTTACCAGGTCGTCACTCCATCTATTGGGGGGTCGCCCTACACTTCGCCTACCGGTACGAGGCTGCCACTCGATAACCTTTCTTCCCCATCGGTTGTCGGTTCTTCGAGCTATATGGCCGGCCCACTGCCACTTCAGCTTACTACTCCGTTGGCTATGTCGGCTACTCTGGTTCTACTGCGGATATCCTCATTTCTAAGTTTATCACGCAGAGAAACCCCGAGCATAGCCCTCTCCATAGCTCGCTGAGCGACCTTGAGCTTCCTCATATGGCTAGCAGTGAAGGACCACGTCTCAGATCCGTAAGTCATCACTGGCAACACGCACTGGTTGTACAATTTCGTTTTTAGGTGTTGAGGTATGTCTAACGAGAAGATGTGTCGTAGTTTCCCGAACGCTGCCCAGCCGAGTTGAATCCGTCGATTGACCTCTCGGTTGAAGTTGGACTTACCTAGTCGGACTATTTGTCCCAGGTAAACATACTCGTCAACAACTTCGAGCTTAGTGCTCCCAACAACTACCAGCATAGGTATGACATGGACATAAAACATTATTTTGTTTTGTCCATGTTTATCTTAAGACCTATCCGTTGGGAGACACTATTGAGGTCCTTGAGCATAGTGCTTAGGTCCTCTAGCGATTCTGCCATAAGGACTATATTGTCGGCAAATCGAAGGTGAGTGATGTACTCGCCATTGATGGTAATACCGCATCCTTTTCAGTCCAGTAGCTTGAAAACGTCTTCCAATGCAGCGGTGAAGACTTTCTGGGATATAACGTCACTCTGTCTTACACCTCTCTGCAATTGGATAGATTTCGTACTTTGATTCTGTACTCGGATAGCCATCGTAGCTCTACTGTACAAACACTTCACATGTTATAGTACTACGGTATTATTATAATAAAACAGAACGTTAGAGTAGTATTAGAGTAGTGAGGGAAAAGGGAATATCAGCGTTCAGAGGACAGTACTAAGACAAATTGTGACAAAACAAACAATTTATACTTGTGTACAAAGATTGAGTTCAGCATAGTTCAAATTTAGGATGCATGCATATTTATAAATTGAACGCAATCCTAATAACTTAAAGGAATATACATATAATGTAATAAATAAAAAAAAATATAAAACTTACAATTTTGAACAAATCATACCACGCCGGATTACGCAAATCTACCGTTAGCCTCATAACGAAGAAGAAATGGCACATGTAGATCCCGTAGGAGAGCTTACTTAGGGGCACGAATGCTGACCAGCTTAAGAAGTCAGTGATGAGAGCTAGAAAGTGTAGAACATTCAGACAATTAGAATTATTTGATATTTTTTTTCAGTATCAGTCTTGCATTTATAACATTCCTGCGTTAAACAATCTAACAATTCATCAGTCGGTACGAGACTGCAATTTACAAGAAACTTTGTTAATATTACTGAGGGCTATGATGAAATAACTCATAGCCTGTAATAATCTTCTATCCATCTTAACTCATTATATTATTACTTATTCATATGCACATCTAATATATAAAAATAAAATTTGTTTGTTGTTATTTTATGCACTGCCATACCATTCATCAGATTGCATAACTTATTGCTTGCACTTGCGGAAGGTTTATTTATTTATTTATTTAGGTACACAAAACAGAATAACATCAAAACATAAACAATTGAACATAATAAATGCAAAATAACAATCTGGATGGTATTCCAAAACATGTGCACACAACATGATATTAGATAACAGTAACGAGTTTACAGCGCAAATACTTATAATCTTACTTATAAACTTAAGTTGTGGAAAATTTAGAAAAATTAATTCTTTATTAAAAATATTGCCTTATTTACAAAGTATATCTAATACAGATATTTTGAAATTGTTTACTTTGCCATTAAATATGTCGATATTTTTACTATTATTAATCAATAATAGTAAAAATTAAAATTAAAAATTACTATTATTAATATTATTTATGGGCATAGTACAATTAACTTACACTAGGTGGCGCGCGTGTCATACTGACAAAGGAGACTGATACGCTTTCATATATTCTTGGATCCAGATTGTAAAAGGATGAAAGTGGTGTCAATTAATAGCTTACATATTATCAAAACATCACTGAAAATTCTGCGGACTTTGGCTATCTGAGAGCAGAATTATAAGAGATTTAGTAAAAGTGAGGTTATGCAATAAGTTGGCAACAACCTATACTAAACAGTCGATTTTTGAAATGGGATTGCTATTTTGGAAGGATCGTGGGCCTAGTGCGATTAGTCGCTATGCCACAATTCACACAGCGATCCATTGAGTGAATATCTAATCGATAAGATCCAGGCCGTAAAATCCACAATAACGCGCCAAAGTCAAAGGAGTAAACAAGATTTACGGTGTTCGGTATGTTAGCAAGGATCGAACAAGTTTAGTAAGATCAGAAGTCCGTAGAAAGAAAGCAGTGGTCGAGCAATATAAATCAATAAAACAAGGGGAAACACTTAAAACACACACGTACTAAACCAGGGGATCCCTAACTTATTCATGACGCGCCCCTTTTCTATCAAAAAAAAAATATCCGCGCCCAAAAAAATATGCTCAAGATAATTTTGATAACTACCAGGTTTGAAAAAAAAATAGTTCAGTCCAATAACATAAAAGTTTTTAATGCTTATTAAAGTTACACATAATCATACAAAAACTACTTTATTATTTAACACAGCTTCTTATTTATTCCAACGTGATCGATGAGCTTGCTTGGTTTTAACGAGGTTTCCAATTAGAATAGAATAGAATAGAATAGAATAGAATAGAATAGAATAGAATGATTTTTATTCAATATGGATTATTACATAATACTTATTGAAAGTCATTATTTTATTTACCACTGGTTCGGAAAATACCTCTGTCCTGGGAAGAACCAGCAAGAAACCCAGCGGGACTTTTTTTTTTAAACATAATTTCACTTAACAATAATTTTGATTATACAATTTTAAATGAATTTTCATAGAACCAGCATGGTGGCGATCACCTTATTCCCAGGGGTTATTTTCACTCATGTATTCCTTGATATTATAATAACCCTTTTTGTACAGTTTTTCTTTAATAAAACTTTTAAACTTGTTTATTGACAAACTTTGAACATGTTCTGGGATTCTGTTGTAAAAGCGTATACATTGCCCCATAAATGAATTACTAATTCTGTGGAGTCTTGTAAGTGGCATTACAAGCTTATGTTTGTTCCTAGTGTTTAAGGTATGAACATCCTTATTCTTATTAAAGCTATTTATGTTTTTATGTACATACATTACATTTTCATAAATTGTCGCCTTGACCACAGAAATCGCACAACGCAAATCACTATCAATGTTAAGTTTATTTCTGTACTTAGTTCTTATTGCTACAACAGCAGGAAATCCCCTTTCGCACAAATATGTACTGGAAAAGGGTAAATACAATCGAAGTGCTTTCTCTGCTATTTTCGGATAAATTGCGAAATATTTGACCCAAAATATTTTTATATCCATTTTTTCGAGATTATATTTAGCAGCAGAACAATTTTTAATATCCAAGGCTTCCTATTGAAGTGTTCCTGACAGGGCAACTATGTTAACATGGAATGGATCCGTCGCCAATCGATAAACATCATCATCACATGAGGTAGTAAAGTAACGGTTGAACTCATCAGTAAGGTGCTGCAAATGATATGACATTTTTCTCCTGGTTTCAGAATCCTCAAAAACCTTCATAAAGCGCTCTTTTTCTATAATACTGCATAATTTGGGAAAACATGAGTAATGTGATGGCTCTGCTAATATCTTGCGATTCCAAAGTTGCAACTTTTCAGTAAAACTTGTGATGACATCTCGATGATAAATTATGTTTGAATCTCCACCTTGAAGTTTTAAGTTTAAAGAGTACAACCAATCAAATATATCGTATAAATAGGCCAATGCTACTTGGACACTTGGGCTTTTGAATTCATTGTATAGATCGCTGTGGTTTTCTAATAATAGTGTTTAGGTCAAAATCGTAATATTTAAAAACTTGCATCAAGATGCGCGCACGGCGCGTTACCCGATGGTATCGAGGTATCGATGGTAGCAACAGTAGCTTGACCGCCTCGGCTCTGTCGACGAGTTGTATTGTTTGTGACCGCTAGATCGGTGGCGCGCGGCCAGTTTTGGGTTTGATGGTCTAGAATTGAGTAATTGTGCGCGTTTAATTTACTATTGAATATTTGGGTTTCGTGAAGACCGCCTCGAATTGGTTTGTCTAATTTGTACGTTTCGTGACAAGAGGCTTGTATTGAATTTGAGAGATTAAAGTAACTTCGTTTGCAAGTTATTTACGTCAATTTGTATAGTGATCTTGAAGTGCATTTTGCAATATTTACCTTGCTCTTGTGGCGTGGATCTTGCGCGAGCGCCGAGAGAAATACGGTCTGGAATTTGAAGCTCGCATTCCATTTCGAGGGCGTGGCCCGGTTTTTGTGTGTTGACTATTTTCATTCGTTTTACGTGTCAACGAGGCGGATTTTGAGTTCTGATTGCGGGCGTGGTATTCTAATATCGTACGAAAGAATTTGGCTTGTTGTGTGGAACGCTGAACTTTGAGACTCGAGAAGAGGCCGCGTTCGTTCCCTGTTTCTAATTTTGTGCTGAATGAACCCGGAACATTGAATATTGAACTTTGAACGACTGTTCGTTACTTGTGTCGGGTGTTACGTGTTTGATTTCGATGAACGTTGAATTGGTTGACTTTGAAGTTAATTATATGTACAATAAAGTTGATAGACTGAAATAGTGAAGTGACGTCAGACTTGAGTTCAGATAAAGTAAACTACCACTGGAAGATCGCACATTTGGAGAAACGCAGAGCCTGCGGATCTGCGGTCCGACTTCAACAGTTAAGTCAGGTTTCACATTGTACACACTACTACACACTACTTACATGCACCTCACTTATCACCTGACTGGTACCCTGTGGCCAACCCTACCTCCTGAAATAGGTAAGTGCTTGCTTATTTGTCAGCCGTTTTTGAACATTTATCCATAGGCCATTGAGCGATCGTGCTTGCGTGTGTGCGTGTGTGCGTGCGTCCGTGCGTGTGTGCGTGTTTGCGTGCGGGCGAGCGTGCGTACGTGCGTGCGTGCGTGCGTACGTGCATGCGTGCGTGAGTGCGTGTGTGTGTGAGTGTGTGTGTGCGTGGAAAATGGTTGCACGAAAAACTTGAGTATTTTGATTACATAATTTCTTCTCGCCATAAAATTATCCCAAGAATAAGAGAATCAGTGAGAGGAGGTCTGTGCCATGTAGTGTGAGAGATAAAGAGTTTTTTTTACTATATTACTTTCACTTTACTTTTTTTACTTTCTAGAAACACTTACGTAAAGTTCCGTATTCGCACAGTAATATAAATGCTGCCATAAGGCCAGCCCAAATGGGTCTATTTAATGCGGCAAAGAATGAGGATTCTATGACATTGTATTCGCGGAATTGATAAGCTGGACCCATGACCAGTATTGTTGCAGATAGCACCATAATTGTAATAAATATAGGGATTGAATATTTCTGAAAAAAAATTTATTAATTCTTGGAATAAGTAGGTAAATATAATTAAAATAGTTGTTTGATCCTTAATTGCCAGACTGACCAACCAGACCTTACGTGGTAGAGCCATGCTGCAGCTATATTAGTAGTAGGTATAGATGTAGCACGAATGGGTCGGCTCAACCGGAGACAGACCACGCTCTCACAGAATACCAGCGTAAAATATTAGCTTAACGCTGCTGTGTTTCGTATGGTGAGTGTTGAGAACCGGGGACCCTTTTTACTGGAAACGAGGCATTACATCTTAGTCCTCCCGGGTGACAACGCATCTGCATTTTGATTCATAATCGAGAAAAGATGTAGATGTCTATGGGCCGCAGCAACCATTTACCACCAGGTGGACTGTGTGCTCATTTGTCAACCTTATCCTAAAAATATCTTGTAAGTTAAAAAAAATTGCTAGTAAAATGCCCAGTGCTGGGTAGACAAGAAAATTGGCCGTGTAGTGGTAGTGTAAGAATATCCACTACTCCATATCATCCCGTGGGTGTCGTAAGAGGCGACAGAGGGAAACAAATAAGTTGCCAACCCGCTCGGCAAGCGTAGCAACAATGACAAGTATCCCTCCTATGAGGCAATCTATGTGGGAGGCCTATGTTCAGCAGTGGGCTTTAATAAGCTGTACCGGTAATTGAAAATTATTCTATATTGTACGTAATTATCACAGTTTATTAGTAGTTTACCCTTGAATATATGGGACCTCTATAGCCCGGTCCAAGTCTCATGATTTATCCATTAAATTTGGTATTTACGGCTTTATTATATGAATATAGAAATAAAATATTCATGCGTTTTGCACAAAGATATTATATTAAGTGTTTATTATTTTGAAATGACGTCAAAATAAAAAAAAATTAGTAATTGATTAATTTGAGCATACCAACGATATTACGTTTCTGTAACTGGTTGGTTTATACACGGAGATAATGTAACCTGCTATTACACCTACGAAGTAAGGAGCTGCTCGCAAGTGACTCTGTACATACATCGGTGAGCCAATTATGGATCTACGAAAATCTTCAATAGTCCTGCAATAGAAATTATAAATAACATAAGGAATAAAAGAAAGGAATAAATCATTGGAAAAACAAGGTTATTTTTTTAAGTCTAAAGAAGAGGGGGCAAACGAGCATGCCGCTCACCTGATGTTAAGTACCGGCCGCCACTCATGAACAACTGGAACACAAAGGGAATCGCAGGCGCGTAGCCGGCCTTTTAAAAAAGAGTAGGCTCTTTTCTTACCTAGGTAGGTCCCTAAGTCTTATCCGTCCGGAAAAATGGCCGGTGGTAGACACACGAGGAAGTTGTACCAGGAAGAAAACTTCTTGTAAATCGCACAGTGGTGGACCACCATTTATTCAAATAGCATGAATGGTATCGTGAGTTTGTCGCGATGTGCAATGTCTGAACGTCTTTTTAGAGGTTAGAGGCTTAGGCAAATTGGCCTTCTCTTCCAAGCGACCACGAAACTGCACATCACTCGATATGTCGACACCGAGGATTCCGATACTGGCTGAGGCAAGAAGGGGAGTGCCTTGAAACTGAAGAGATACAACAAAGGGGTTCTTTTTAGCGGTAAACGCGCAAACTTGTATCTTCTGGGGATTTCCGTCCTAATCGGCCGACCTATGGTGCCAAACACGACGGTAAGCTGCAGATCTCAACTGCGACGGGAGCGTGAGTGGTGTATATTTAATAAAATTAAATCCAAACCCAAGTATACAACTGCAAGACTTCAAGATACTGTAAGTTAACAGCGTAGATCGTAACAAAAACTAATAATTTTAATCTGGAAGTAGCCGTGGCTAACTATGACATTGGGACGTCAAATTCCTCAATCCCCCACGTGGCCATGGGTGCTGTAAAGTGCTCGAAAGGTCGGGAATAGAATAGAATAGAATAGAATAATTTTTATTCAATTTTGATTATCACATAATTCTTATTGAAAGTAATTTTTTATTTACCACCGGTTCGGAAAATACCTCTGTCCTGGGAAAAACCAGCAAGAAACCCAGCGGGAATTTTTTTTTCAAACATATTTCACTTAACAATAATTTCTTTTATACAATTTTTAAATGATTTTTCATAGAACCAACATGGTGGCGATCACCTTATTCCCAGGGGTTATTTTCATTCATGTATTCCTTGATATTATAATAACCCTTTTTGTACAGTTTTTCTTCAATAAAGCTTTTAAACTTGCTTATTGATAAACTTTGAATATGTTCTGGGATTTTATTGTAAAAGCGTATACATTGCCCCATAAATGAATTACTGATTCTGTGGAGTCTACTAACTGGTATTACAAGCTTATGTTTGTTCCTAGTGTTTAAAGTATGCACATCCTTATTCTTATTAAAGCTATTTATGTTTTTATGTACATACAATACATTTTCATAAATATATTGCGGTGCCAATGTTAATATGTTTATTTCTTTAAATTTTTGTCTGAGGGACTCTATACAATTTAGGTTATCAATGGCCCGAACGGCTTTCTTCTGCCGTTCTCTATTCCGTTATATAAAATAAGTTAAAAACGCGATAAAATCCGTAAAAACTAGTTTTATTTAAATGTGTGGCTTGATGGATTTTAACATATGAGGTGTTTTAAATTGAATCTGCAAATACAACAAAAGGGAGAGGATGGTATTTTTTCCAATAAACTTTTTAATATAGTCGGGTTGGTTTTTATAAATTACTATTTGACCATTAAGCTTGTTGGATACATACAACTGACTTACGAGTATAATAAGGAAAGTTAGATCGTGCTCAGTTTATTAGGGGGAATTTCGAAGATTTCAAAGTTGCTGATTATATGAGTGATAATTTTTGTAGTTGCGTATCAAGCGCAGAAACTGGAATGTTATGTAAATAGATCATAGGGTTTGTTGGTCAAATTGTATACTGTGATTGTCCTTTGGTTTCATACGCTGTGTCAGTCCATGTCATGTTAAATGTCTACTGTGCTCCAAAGACATTAACGTCTACTGTGGCGGCGCTGTCGTCGCGCCACAAGCGAAACACTTGCGAAACACATCGAAGCCTAAATCGCGCTAACAAAGTTCCGAAATTAAAGCAGTATATATAGAATAGCTCCGAACTACCATTAGTACTGTTCGCCGCTCCTCAGGCAGAACACCTAGCCCAGCGGGAGATCTCCCCTTTTCCTTCTGTCGTCACATCTACCTCAAGGGTAGGGTTAAGAACATAGAATACTATATGTATTATAGTATTCTATGATTAAGAACGTGGTAGAGCCATGAGAATGGGTTGGCTCGACCGGGGAAGGACCACGGTCTGTCAGATTACTAGCGTAAAATAGCAGCTCCATGCTGCTGTGTTCCTTATGGTATGTAGAGAACAGGAGAACCATTTTACTGGAAACGAGGCATTACATCTTAGACGTCAAGGGTGACAACGAATCTGCATTTTGATTCGCAAACGAGGATAGATGTAGATGTCTATGGGCCATAGCAACCTCTTACCATCAGGTGGACTGTGTGCTCGTTTTTCACCCTATCATATATGTGTGCTAATTCGTCAGCGTCCTGCTATAAAAAAAAATTAAAATTCGTTGTCACCCCTGATTATTTATATTTTATTATTTATATATTTTAACTGATTTTACTGCGCACGCACACATTCGTAAGAGTCAATCGGTGGGCAAAAACGTTGTTGCGCATAAATCACATTTCATTTTGGGATACTTTCAAATGAAAGTAGTTTATGTACTTATGTACTCGTATTTTCAAAAACTGCAATAACGGTATATCATTATTTATATATTTGGATTTAAGTGTATTACTAAGTATATTGTATATATATATATATATATACATATAATATATACATAGCATAATGGACTTTCAATATGTATTATCTAGTACATAATTTATAGCGTATAAAAACATTGTTTTCTGTAAAATACTGTTTAAACAATAAGAATACTCACTCAATATCAAAAACGGTTACAGCACTCAGCTGTTTTAAGTAGGTGTTGAGTCCAGGCAGTATTAATGAAACGATTGTAACAAGTCCAAACAAGTACTGACCACTGCGATGATTTTTCTGATACAGCCAATACATAATTGCACTAACCGCAGACAAGTGATAATCGGCCGGTACGTACCACGTTACCAAATTGCACTAAAAAGGAAAAAATAATTCGTAAATATTGAGAAGTTACATCCTGTCACCAACATCATGAAACTTACACTATTTGAAGAGTCGATGTAGTTGCCTAACATAAGTAGTGACACCCACCAATTTTTCTTGCACAAATCCTGCTCTACTTTTGCGAATTTAAACCATAATGGACCGTCGTAAAGGTAAGGTGAGGCGGTGATTGATATAAAGATTGTAACAATAAACACCCATATTAACCTGCAACATAATTTAAAATGTTATTCCAAGTTTTAGGCGTGTCAGTTTTGACGCCTTGATTTTCTATTATCACCAACTATCTGTGTTCACGTCCTGAGTTGCCCCTACAAAGGTCGATTGGGCTAAGGCCCATAGTAGCCCCTCGACGAGCAACAGAGGACGGGGCCCAAATGACCATATGGACAAACAATAGGGAGAAGGCTAGGAAAACAAATAGTACGTACCTGAATCCGAATCTAAGACCGCCCCAAGGCTCGGTCAGGCCATAGGTAGGGTAGGTGCATGTAAAGTGGTGTTTGTTAGTGTGTAAATGTAGGTGACCTGGCCCAGCTGAGGTGACCGGGCAGCGGCCGGTTTCCATGCTGCCCCACAATGCTGCATCACTCCAACAGGTGTCACCACTGGACAATTTCCTTCTTCATGTCACTATTTCTGTGGCGGATTGGGATTATTTTACTAGATATAGTGGACTGTATTGAGAATCTAAATCCCCTGAAACGTTCAGTTACCGCAGTCACAAAATCACACCAAAAACAGCAACAAACTACTCACGGTCTTACTAGCCAGCCTCCCAAGAACAGCAAACGTTGACAGCTCCTGGTAGCTTCTTCTACACGGTAGAATACACTAGCAATTAGATTGTACACGGTACACTCTGGAGTAGTCCCTTTTTTTAAGTTTTTGGAGAGATGTTCACATCACGAACACAAAGAGAATGTGTATGTCTTGTCTCGCCTCCTACCCTCCTCTTCTCTTTTTTTTAACTTCACAGATTATTACAACGCATATTACGTCGCAATGTTGCCACTAGGTGTGACCGGCGCTCCGATCGTAGCAGATCATTGTGCCTCGGTATAAATTTTGTGAGTTGCGGTTTATTACTGAACACACCCCCCACCGAAACCATCTTGATGGTTTCTCCTAACTATATGAAAAAGATATTAGAGAAAATATTATAACTTAAGCTACGGAACATGCAAAATAACGCTGAGACACAGAATGTCCTCAACGAGAAAAAAAAATATTAATACACGTAAAAACTAATTTGAATAAGGTAGAGGACTCAGTTTATTAACTGGTCTCTGTAGAGTACTCTTTTGAGTGCGAAGCGTAACACAACGAACAATCCCATCTGGACCGGGGTGAAGAGCCTCAATTCTACCCAAAGGCCAATCGCACGGCGGTACATTATCAGTTTTTATGATTACGAGATCACCTATTTTTATATTAGATCTATCCGAATGCCACTTTGCTTTCTGTTGCAGCGTATTTAGATATTCGTGACTCCATCTACGCCAAAACATTTGTGAACATTTTTGAATATATTGCCAACGTGATAATCGATTTATTGCTATATCCTCTACATTATCCTCAGGTACTGCTGTTAACCCTTTTCCAATTAGAAAGTGTCCCGCAGTCAAAACGTTGAACTCATCAGGATTATCACTAGCTGGTAACGGACAAAGCGGCCGCGAGTTGAGAATCGCTTCTACTTTACAAAACACTGTTGTGAGTTCCTCGAACGTCAAACTTTTTTCTCCTACAGCTCGCGTTAATAGATACTTGGCGGATTTAATTCCAGCTTCCCAGAGCCCACCCATATGTGGTGCACCAGGGGGATTAAATCTCCATATAATTTGTCGTTTTGAGCAACCCTCTAATATATTGTTTTTTTGTTCGAGCATAAATCTTTGTACTTCGGTTAAATGCTTACTAGCAGCTATGAAATTAGTTCCGCAATCCGAATAAAGGAAGGAGCACACACCGCGTCGCGCTACAAATCTGTCTAAACACGCGAGGAAACAGTCCGATGACAACGACGATAAGACTTCAAGGTGTACAGCTTTTGTCGAATAACAAATAAATAATGCTAAATATGACCGTTCAACCCTAGCATTTCGTCGTAAACTTTCTTTTGTAAAGAACGGACCACCGAGGTCCACCCCTACATGCTCAAAAACATTACAAGGTATCAATCGGGCTGCTGGCAAAGGTGCCATCTCAGGCTGTAAGAGCACTGGGTTGTGTTTAAAACAAATTTTGCATTTGGACAAAACTGACCGAATAATGCGACGGGATGCTAAAATCCAAAAATTTTGATTAATAATGTTTTGTAAGGTGCGTGGACCTACGTGTAAATATTTTTTATGTAAATATTCAATAAGTAAAAAGGTAAATCTACTATTTTTAGGTAATAAACGAGGATGCTTCGCGTTATAAGGTAACGCTGAATAATTTATTCGACCCCCCACCCTGAGGTATCCGCGTTCGTCAATAAATGGAGATAATTTTCTCAACGACGGAACGTACTTTGTGCCCTTTGACAATCTATTTATTTCATTTGCGAAGTATGCACTTTGTACTAATTTAATTAAAACATCTTGGGCAGTATTTAATTCGTTAGTCGTCAGTATTGATTGCTTCGAGTGACCGGATTTGAGTCGGAACCATCTCAATATTCGAGCAAACGTACGTTGCAGTTTATAATAAGAAGAGAAATTGGAAAAGATTCGGTCACAGAACTCTAACTTAGTCTCCTCTATCGAATTATTTTCATTTGTGATTAAATTGAAGGAGCCTAATGTATGATTTGATTTCATTTCGGGTGTATTACTTTCATGTTGGTTGATAAATGTTCTCACTGGCCACTGCGAATAGTCGTCGTACAACCAAGATGGGCCCTTCAACCACTGCTCACTGCACTCCACGAGCTGTGACGGAGACGCTCCGCGCGAGCATATGTCTGCCATATTGCACTCACTACTCACGTGACGCCAACAGTGTGGAGGTAACACTTCACATACCTGAGTAACACGGTTACTAACAAACGGCTTTAATTTGTAAGCTTCTGTCTGAAGCCACGTCAACACGATAGTCGAATCGGTTAACGCAGTAATACGAGTAATTTTTACACGAGTTAAAATGTCACGGACATATCTAATTAATTTGCTTAACAAAACTGACGCCATTAATTCCAACCTCGGGATAGTTAATGGTTTGACGGGGGCTACTTTAGATTTTGCCGTCACCAGGCGTACTTTAGTCTGACCTCTATCGTTACGACTGATCACATACACACAACTAGCATAACCGCGAGAGCTTGCATCGCAAAAGGCGACCAATTCACATTCGGTCTGTTCTGGTAGCAGCATATGTCTATCTATCTTGATTGCCGTTAGTCGCGGGAGATCATCAACGTAATTAAGCCAGCGCTTAGTTACGTCAGTTGGCAGCTGCTCATCCCATCCTATGCCCAGCTTCCATAAATCTTGCATTATCTCTTTCGCGATGAAAATGCACGGTGAAATAAAACCCACGGGGTCGTAAATAGAAGCTAATAATTTTAAAACAGAACGTTTAGTTGTTACTTTATCAGTCTTATCTACTGTGAAATAAAAACAGTCAGTCAAAGGGAACCATTTCAGACCTAGCACTTTGACTGAATATTTGTTACCATCTTTCATAAATGTAACAGGACACTCTCGGTTTTCTAACGGAACGCGTTGTAAAACTTTTGCACTATTACTCGCCCACCTTTTGAGTATAAAGCCACCGGAATTAAACATCTCTAAAAGTTCATCTTGTAACCGAGATATCTGTGACAATGAACTACAAGAATATAGAATGTCATCCATGTACACGCCCTCGCGCACAACCTTTGCAGCGAGTGGGAAACGTTCTTCCTCGTCATAGGCTAACTGTAAGAGGGTGCGGATAGCTAAGAACGGTGAGCAACTTAAGCCGTAAGTGACAGTTTTTAATTCATAAACGTCAATGGCATCGTTAGGCGAATGACGATACAAAATATGTTGATAACATCTATCTGACTGATTCAGTTTAATTGCCCGATACATTTTGCATACGTCACAAATCAAACAATATTCAAACAACCTAAAATTCAATATTATAGCCCCAATATCTCGATACAGATTAGGCCCGGTCAATAGAATATCATTAAGCGAAACGTTCGTGGACGTTTTAGCCGAGGCATCGAATACCACACGCAAAGGAGTAGTGGAACTACTGGGCTTAAGTATACTGTGATGAGGTATCACATATTTGCTTGGGGTGTCCCCCGAATAAAGCTCCATGTGCCCTAGATTTTCATATTCGCACATGAACTCTGAATAGGCTTGTCGTAATACAGGTGAACGATTCAACTTGCGCTCGGTGAACAAGAGTCGCCGCTCGGCTGCCGCTCGTGACGCGCCCAACGGAGGCGGGTCTGGTATGAATGGTAACGGCACTGAATAGGTACCATCCTCAGTACGACTATAACGAGCCACGAAAATGTCTTCCGCTAATTGTTCCAAAGGATTAATCGAGGGTTTGCTTGGCAATTCTTCGATTTCCCAAAATTTACGCAACGTTTGATCTAAAGACTCTTGTTCATCAAATGAGACTGATAAATTATAATTTTTTAAATTGTCCTTATCATTGCTATAAAGTTTACCACTTACAACAAACCCGAAAGCGGTATCGATCACGCTTGGTATATCCGATGAAATAATGTAAGGTTTATCCTTAATTAGTTCCGAAACTATATCATTGCCCAATAGTATATCGATACGCGAACGCTTATAAAATAATGGATCAGCTAAATTAAAATTCTTATATTTATTAATAACGTCCGAGTGGAATCGAACGTTAGGCATATCAGCAGATACCTTAGTCACTACGACCATGTTCAGTGTAAAACTAGGTAGGTCAGTGTGTAGGGACCTTAATGTGCATGTAATCATGCCGTGATTTTTTACAGCCTCTCCACCGAGACCATAAATATTAAACGAACACTTCTTTCGAGGTAAGCCCAAACGTTGAGCACACTCAGTTGTAATAAATGAGCTCTGAGCTCCAGAGTCAATAACTGCACGGCAGTATTGAAGCTGGCCGCTACTATCAATTACTAACACGCGCGCCGTTCCCAATACAACACCGTAACCCGAGTGAGCGTTATTGGAATGAAGCGTATCTATCGTATAACGCTCTGAGTCACTCAT